TCAGAAACATATATTAATTTGCATATTTCATTGTATTATGCATGTTACTCAGAGATAAAGGAACAGATGTTTGAGAAGAAATTAGAGCTATCAGTATCCACACTAGCCAACCACCCACGCTTCACATCAGTCTTATCTCTCACATCATGAGAAGAAATATGTGTTTGTTGGTTGGTTTGCCTGAGATAAGAGAAGCATGCAGGCGGTTGGAGGGTGCCATTGGTAGTCAGTGTACTACTTTTGTTCGTTCCCTCTGTTGTTTCTGTCAGTCTTTCTTTCCTATTTCTCAGCACTATACGGCCGTTCTCGTGTCGATTTGCAGCTCTGCAATCAAAACAAACAAAAGAGAACCGCAATGACACTAAGGATACACGCTAGTAAAATATAGTAAGTAAACTATATTAAAATTTGAGCTTTCGGTGTTATCTTTGTGAAACTAAATAGCCACTTGACAAGAAGGATTTATTGTTTTGTTTTGTTTTATTTTGTTTGGGGGGGGGTTGTTTGTTTGCGGTTGGGGTTTTGGTTTTTAAAAATTTTGTACATGTTTACGCGCCAATCGACACAATTTTACTCATCTAGAGTCTAGGAGGCGGGCTGCTCTGATCCTGCAAGTCAAGGCCAACCAGGACTGAGAGAGATGCAGCCTCCCAGCAGACATACAGAGGGAGATACTCGATGAATAAGAATTGCCCACACAGGAATCGAACTCACGTTTTCTGCATTGCACGCCAATAAGTGTACCCGTGACACCACAAACATCAATGACTTTGCTGTGAGATATGCTAAAATTAATCGAAATATAGTACTCCCGCAAATGTCCTTTTCACTCCTTTAAATTGCCGCAAATGGAATTCTCTTCTTTGAGGGAAAAACATGTAGTTATGTGACGAGAGTACTACTTTTTTCTTTTCTTTTTTGTTGCTTTTTTTTTTAAAGCAAAGAGAAGAACCTTGCAATAAAAAATGAAAATGTGAAAGAAAACAGCCAGCACGAGAGGGCAGTGCATAATCCAGAATGTAATGTCAGAAAATAACAGTGACATGCAAAAACGGACATCGTGGGAGCTATCAGAAGGAGATAGAGGGAGGAAATGTCCAAGGTCTTCCGACTTGAATTGCGTGTGGGGGTTGAAATGTATGTCGAAACACAAGCATAAAGTATGTGTGTGGGTGTGAGCGTGGGTGTGTGTGTGTGTGTGTGTGT